AATCTGGGGCTCCGAGACACAGTACTGCTGGCCTTTGCCGATAAAGGGCTTGGGGCTCCGCCTCAGTGGCTGCAGGCCCCAGGCAGTTAGGTCTGCGCTGAGAAAGGCGAGTCCGCTGTGCCGAGGAGGAGGGAGGTCTGGGGGAGGGGAGTGCCGAGAGATCAAAGGATCGTTTCTCACCTTCCCCAAACAAGTCCCTGGGTGACCCGAGACGAAGGTTTTCACCTCCGGCGATGTTCCCTGTTGTTTAGAAAGTCTCTCCGTTGTTTCCCTGGCTTCAGAAGTTCTTCCACTCATCAACTCAGAACTTTTTCTCTTCCACAGCTTGGAAACTGTGTGTGCTAGTCGCCATCTTGGCTCCGCCCCTCCTGTCTGCCCTTCTTAAGGACCAGAGTTCAATTCCCATCACCCACATGACAGCTCACAACTGTCTGTAACCTCAATTCCAAAGGATCTGACACCTTCACACTAATGCATATACAATAAAATTAAATTAATTAAAAATTTCTTTATTATCTGTTTAAATATAATTTAGGCGCTTACACTTGAAATTTCACATACTAATTCTTGTTCTCACAGATTCGTGGAAGTCTTAAAAGTGACAGAAAAAAAATTAAATGAATGTGAAAATAGAGAATTATATTTCCATGAAGATATGAGAAACAAAACATTTGAAATACTACGACATGAGGTAATTTTAACTTAGTTTCAAGACCTAAAATCTTGTAATTTGGGGAAACAGAAAACTCCAAGTTCTTTGCCTACTAAATACGTAAAGATATAAATTGTTTATTATTAGCTGGGCTTGGTGTTTCATGCCTGGAATCCCAGTACTCCACGAGGCAGAGGCAGGGAAATCCCTGTGAGTTTGGGGCTAGTCTGTTCTAGAAAGCAAGTCCAGGACAGCTAAGGCTATACAGAGAAACCTTGTCTCAAAAAACAAAACAAAACAAAAGTTTATTATTATTTGGTGTATGGATGGTGTATGTGTGTATTTGTGTGTATGTGTGTGTTTGTATATGTGTACACATGCTATGTGCAGGGTAGATGAGGGCTCTGTGGAGTCAGTTCAACCTTTCCACATTTGTATGGGTTCCTGGGATTGCACTGGATATGTTAGGCTTGCATGTAAGTGCCTTTTATCGGTGACATCCTTCAGCTGTTGTATAGCAGGATGACCTTTGGGTGAGTGAGAAGGTCAGTGCACACCTCTGAGTCCACCTCTGCAAAAGGCCATATCATACACTGACCAGGATCAAGACCATCAGGAGGGGTTCACCAAGAATAATAATACTATATTAGGAATGTTAACAGTAATTTATATTTCTAATAATAATTCCCAATAAGCTCTCCCCTAGTGTAGAGTGTCAGGACCAGTCTTTATCATCATAAGAGAATTAGCTCTCAAAGATGCTACACCTACAAGCATGCTGCTTAGCCACATCTGTCCTACCTCCCAGCGATGTTCTTTCTTTCATATTGTCCTGTTCACCTAGCCTCACACCCTGGACCTTGAGGAGAGTGCTGTTTGGCCAACTAGGTGATCATGCAGAAGTAGGGCTTATGAAACCTTTGGCCACATGCTCCTGTTTTGCTGAGGTCATTTGCAGGCCCCACCACCAGAGATACATGTTATTTTATGGATCTTTTCTTTCCAGTTTCTGCTCACTTCACCCATGTTTCCTATACTCTTTTCAGTACTCATGGCCTCTTTCCCCTATCTTTTTGTTTTTGGTGGAATGCATTTTTCCCACCTTCCCAACATGACTGTTTTTTCACTATTGAGGGATGCGGGCCTGCCTTTCTAACAAGTTCTCCAAGTAGGTCAGCTGCCAAATATTTTGTGGCCCATTTGAAAAATGTTACCTATAAAGGCACTTACATGCAGCCTAACAACATTAGTGCAATACTAGGAACCCACATGAATGTGGAAGGAGAGAACTGACTCCACAAAGTTGTCTTCTGACCTGCACAAAGCATGTGTGTTTACATACAAATAAACACACACCATTCATGGCTGTTCCAAGATGCTCTATGCACTGTCTAGACAGAAGACTTAGGAGGAAGAGGCTGAGCTAAGCTGTAATCATTTGTTGCAACAAAACCTGTTTTGGGCTGACAAACAAATTGATCCCTTCCTGCAGATTCCAGGGATTTATAAAACAGCTTACAATTGACTCCAATTCTCAGTAACAAGCTTAGATTGTTAATTTGTGAAATCCAATACCAGAAAAAAAGAAAGATGACAGGAAGGAAAGAAGAAAGAGAAAAGAACATAGTAGAGACCACAGAGTCAGTGAGGTGAGCCCATCTCTGGCCTGTGCTTCTTCTTTCTTACCACCCCAGAGTATGTAACACATGGCGACATACACTTTAATCCCAGAACCCAGGAGACCAAGGCAAGAGAACTGCCACAAGTTAGAGCAAGACCTTGTTTCAATGACAAACAAATGTAGCCCCAATCCTCTGGATACAGATGCTGGTATTAATGTTCTTCCAACAGGCAACATGTTTTCCAGTCTAAGGCTGGGCTAAGTTCTAAAGTCCATAGACATTCTGTGCACAGGTCCCCAAGGCACCTGTTTTCTAGGAAATGAGCCAACATTCACAACTTGAAATATGAGTTGTAAGAGAGTCGATGAGCACTGAGCCTGCTTTTGACCAGAGCACCTGCCCTGAGGTTTCATGCACATGAAGGTCTCAAGATCGGTCTAGCTATTTCATCTCAACAATTTTACCCTGAGGGACATTTGACAGCTCTGTTAGGTATTGTTCCATACCTCTGAAAAGAGTGGAGGGGCAATGAAGCTAGTTTTGTGTCATTAAAATGTTGAACACAGCGACTCAGAGCATATCATGCCTGAGGAATGTTGGGGCAGGTAGTGAGGTGGGAAGCGAGAGAGTTTGGATATGAAGGTAGCTGGGGACCAGAGACCCACAGAGCTGACCCAGGGTTAGGTGACTTAAGCTTGTCAGTCTAACCTCAGCTCTGCTGTCCCAGGACAAAGCCTTTACCCTGAGTGTCTCCAAATTCATGGTTAGCTACCTCCAATGGTCAAGGTGGTTCTGCTAGGCTCTGCCCTCTTCTTCACACAGGTAAGCTGGGTCTTGAGTGTATGGCCAGGAGCACAGACATCATGTGTTTGTAGGTCTATACTTTCTATGTGCTGATTCTATTACTAGAACCAGAGAAGTAAACAGAAGGGGAATCTAGCCCCTTAAAATTAGCCTCCATCCCCACTCTTGAGAGGGGAAGAAGTAAGGGGAAGCAGCCTTTAGTAGGTGTGTTAGCTGTGTGGGCCTCAGAAGGACCATCTCAGAGAGGAGAGAGATGTGAAGCTTTACTTAAGTGTCTTTCCAGATGTACTTTGCTTTACTAAATGTGTGTGAAATTTTTTTCAAGTCTGAATTCATTTTTTTATTAATTACATTTTATTCATTTTGTTTCCCCCCATAAACCCCTCCCTCCTCCCCTCCCGATCCCACCCTCCCTCCCCTTTCTGCATGCGTGCCCCTCCCCAAGTCCACTGATAGGGGAGGTTCTCCTCTCCTTTCTGATCTTAGTCTATCAGTTCTCATCAAAAGTGGCTGCATTGGCCTCTTCTGTGGCCTGGTAGGGCTGCTCCTCCCTCAGGGGGAGGTGATCAAAGAGCAGGCCAATCAGATTATGTCAGAGGCAGTCCCTCTTCCCATTACTATGTAACCCACTTGGACACTGAACTGCCATGGGCTACATCTGTGCAGGGGTTCTAGGTTATCACCATGAATAGTCCTTGGTTTGAGTATGAGTCTCTGGGAAGTTCCCTGTGTTCAAATTTTCTTGTTCTGTTGCTCTCCTTGTGGAGACCCTGTCCTCTCCAGCTCTTACTATTTCCCACTTTGAAAAACTCTAATATTTCCATTTTGGCTTTTGTTTTTTCAAGACAGGGTTTCTCTGTGTAGGCCTGGCTGCCCTGGAAATCACTAGGTAGATCAGGCTGGCCTCAAATTCAGAGATCCACCTGCTTCTGATTCCAAAACACTGGGGTTAAAGGCAGGTGATACCACCACACAACTCACACTCTTGATTCTTATCTAATTTGTTCAGTGTGACTAAATTAGGTACTAAACGTCCTGCTTTAAAGGAAGGAAAACATGAAACAGTTACAGAACAAGGAAAGGCAAAGGGCGAGTAAACATTTTTTGTGACAAAGATGATCAATGTGAAGAGTGTAGTTCTGTATTCCAACAGGCTACTCCCCAAGATTCTGCTATAGATTTTAATAAGTTACAACTGTACTATGTCAGAATTATCCGTCATTACCAACTGTATTTTTCATGCAGATCAATTATCTTAAAGATACATGGGGACCTATACATTGCAAATATTTACATCAAGATATAAACATTCAGTTGACTGAGCAAGGATTGTTAACAATAAAAACAGACCAAGAGAATTATGAAAACCTACACGAGACTCAAGGAAACATGGCAAATGAAGTGCTAACCCTCAAACGTCTGTTTCAGGAGAGTATGGTAAGTCAGGGCCAGGTCAACAGTGTGAGAGGAGATCCAGGCAGGAGCAAGTCACCACATAGTGGAGACACGGCACATGGTCTAACTTTGCACATTATTTGCTTGTAACATGCTTAGCTTCATTTCACTGAGGATTGCATTTTGGGTAATTCTATTGTGTGTTTCCTCCATTTTCCTTACAGCAATTAGATTTGTATGTTTCTGGCAGGTAGATGACTTAAGTTCCCCTTCTAAAAACCCAATTCCCATCATTACCTTGTAATGGCTATTATTATGAATCATCTGTCTTTTAAAGCTAGTTGTGTACAAAAAGACTGTTGGGAAAAGATGCACCATCCCGTGGATTTGTTCTTAAGTTACGATGTCCAAGCTTTAAATTTTTGAATGACTCCATCACTAAGAGCTATCTGGTAACAGGAGTGGAGAAATGAGAGTGATTCTCAGATGAGGCCATACTCCAGTGTCAGGGCACTTAAGATGCACACACCAGACTCCAGATTAGATTTCCTTCAGCACCGAAGAAAAAAGAAGCGTCAGCTAACGTTTTCTGACTCAGGTGTAATGCAGTTTTATAAAATTGAAGATAAATCTTTTACAGTCCAGCGTGTTGTATCAAATATATAAAATTGCTTTATATATCGGTGATTTATGTGTACTGGAGATACATACACAATACTTATGGTTTGGTAAAGCACATGACCAGAGAAGCAGAAGAAGGTATGCTCACTAATTTAAGAGTTAAATTTAGATTAAGTGATGGATTTCTCAAGTAAATTATAAGCAGCACGTATGCCCTCTTTCCTCTGGTTAAAAGATTCTACATGCTTTTTAGGTAGATCAAACAAAAGATGTGAACATACATGTTTCTAATGAGAAACACATTTATTCCTTCTTCTCCATGATCTGATGTTGTATCTCAGAGTCTCTGGACCTGCATGTTTCTAGCCAGCACTTTACTCACTTCTGTCACCATCACCCTCTCAGAATGATGGTAGAAAAGCCAGACTCATCCAGCTTAGACCAGGAGTCACTGTGCAAGCTGATCCTTGCAAGGGCCATTTACACTCTTCCCACTGTTTTCTCACTGCTTTGCTCTTCCCTTAGGAAAATTGTCTTTCCTTAGCATGCACTAACACATCCTTCTCAGTTAGGTGGCCATCCAGTTATCTATCCTCAAGTCTTGCTACCTGTCTACTCCGCTCCTTTCTCTGTAGCTTCTCCTGCCCCCAATGTGAGCTTTCCTACCTCTATCTGTGTGCAGGCACTGCACCCAAATTTCTGGCTTACTCTCTTCAGTGTTCCCCTCTAACATAGAGCCTATAGTACTGACCCAAGACTGACTTCCAGGCTCCTTCTGTGTGTTCCAATAGTTCCCTCTGTTATACCTGCATAGACTCTGTGACCTGAGTGGACATTGCCTGTCCATCTGATTTGGAAGGATTAATCATATGGTTGCTGAATAGTGGATCCTGTCATCTTGACTCTACTGCTTGGTCTTTATGATTTAACACATGGTTGTTCAATAAATACAATTAATAAACTGTCTGGTTCTTAGCTATGATGATCTCAAAGTCTGTGCGCAACCTTGGGCATTATAAATCTTCCTATTTTGTATTATAGTGGTTCATACATAACATTATCTTTTTTTGAGACAGGGTTTCTCTGTGTAGCGTTGGCTGTCCTGGACTCACTCTGTAGACCAGGCTGGCCTCAAACTCACAGTGATCCACCTGCCTCTGCCTCCTTGAGTGCTGGGATTAAAGGCTTGTCCCAATATACCTGGCTGTAAATATATTCTTAAACACTGGTGATTCTCTTAATTGTTGTAGAAAATATAGATTGCTAATAAAGCTTATTATTAAATCCTATAATTAATATAATGGTTATTATTAACCTGATACCATATCAATAAAACACATAGACACCTGTTTTTATTAAAATAAGCCTTGTTTCACTTGGGACTGGGCAGATATTACCCCCTAATCTACCTTTTCACCTCTCAGCCTCACATCCCATGTTATTTGTTTTAACCATTTCAATCTGGGCTACTCCCCTCCACTATCTCCCTAAATACTTGCAGAGCTTTCTCCCTGGCCCACTTCTTTCCATGCTGTTCCTCCTCCCAGGCCTCTAACCCTCCTCTGTCCACAACTCTGCTTCCTCTTCTCCTCTTCCTAACTCTCTCCTTCCTGTGATTCTACTGTCCTCAAAGTCTGAAAACTTTGGCCACACCTACCTCACTCTGCCCTGCCTAGGTGTATAGGCATTCATTCAGCCAATTAGGGATAACTTGGAGGCAAGGATTACAAATGTCACTTTGGGATAGGTTGTGTCTGCACATAAAAGACAGCAAGCAGACCTCAGGGGGCAAAATAACAAACAATCAAATACAAAGTGCCAGACCAACTTCTGTTAAATAAATTCCAAAGCTTTGGGGATCAAGCATATAATTCTTGCTTTTCTTTCTAGAGTCTGCTCCAGTCGATCCTTGGTTCTTTGAAGCTTCTCCCTGTGACCAACCTACTGATACATCAAATCATAATTTATATCAAGAAGAATAAAAATTAGAAAATTTAAAGAAAAATATTTTTCTGAAAGATAACATTTTATTTATTGAATGGTTTGTGTGTTATTTTAATAGTTTCCCCTCATAATGTACTAAGAAAAAGTCATGCATTTTAAGCTGTTGAATGATAGGTTATCTGATTTTTCCCCTTTTAAAAAATCGTATGCTACTCCCCCCTAACATTTACTGCCTGTAGTCTCTCATTGAGAGTTGGGGCCTAATGATCCCCTTCCCATGCACAGTGACATGATGTTCTGATCTCATGTAGGATTTCCACAATAAAACACAACTGTATTGAGTTTATGATTGCAGTCACCATGTCATGTCCAAAAGACTCCATTTCACAGCATTTCTGCCTGTATGTTGATGCTTACATTCTTTCTGTCTCACTTTTCCACAGTAGTATCTGAGCCTTGTGGGATATTGGTCTGGTTGAATTTTGTCAAGTTCATACAAATATAGACACAAGAAAGAGGGAATCTCAGCAGAGGGATGGTCTCTATCAGACTGTCAGGTAGTAAGTCTGCTGGGGCATTTTCTTGATTGGTGATTGATGTGGAGGGCACAGCTGACTGTGGTTTGTGGTACTCCTGGGCAGGTGGTTCTCAGTGGTATAAGAGAGCAGATTGAACAAGCTGTGGGGACCAAGCCAGTGAGCAGCATTTCTCTGTGGCTTCTGCATATGTATGATGTTTATGGTGTGTGTGTGTAAGACATGTATGTAGAGGTCAGAGGCCAACTGTTGGGAATTGGTTCCATCTTTCTACCATGGATTCTAGGGATGGGGCTCAGGTTATTAGGCTTATATAGAAAGTGATCTTATGTGCTGAGCCGTCTTAGTGTTCCCTTCCCCCTAAATTTCTTCTCATTAACATTTTGTAGTGAGAATTTTGGTTTGGTTTCTTTCAAAACATAGAAATGTTATGTGAATATGTTTTTGTTTGAATCCCAGATGTGGGATATGGGGCTGTTTCAGATTGTCCATAACAGCTGACTATGATTTTCCTCATGTTCTAGCAAGGGCATGATGTTGCCAGCTGAGGCTAGTTTACATTTGGAATTATAGGGCTTCTTCAGAGGGTACCTAATGCCAGAGGCCCAGAGGCTATTTTCCCTGTTGCTGTCAGCTCCCACTGCTGCTGCTGTTGTTGGTTGCTGTTTGCTGCTGTTTACTGGTTTGCTGGTTCATAGTTGGAGACATTCTGCCTATGAAGATCAAACTTGCTCCTGCTCCAAATAACTTGACACCATAACCAGAGGAAAGTAGTCAAATGGTATTGATGACCCCTTTTCTTTCTAGCCGTCTTTCTCTCCTATCTAGAATTGGGGAGATGAAAGGGATGGGGTTGGTATAGGGAGGCAGGAAAAAGAACCAATAAAGGTGCCAAAAGTCCAGTTATAATATTCTTTTCATTAAAAAAAAAACAAAACAAAACAGATCAAAACAATAACCCAAACCAAAAAACCCACCCAAAACAACAGAGAAGTCTGTCTTTTATTACTCTCCTCATTACATGCAGACAAACCTTGTAAAATGGTAACTAGATCACTAAGTAATTAAGTAACATATATGACTGTGCATGTAGCTCAGGGGTAGAGTGAACATGCCTCACATATGAAAGACTCCAAGTTCCCTCTCTTACTGCTGAAAGCATGGCATGTTAATATAACTAAGTATGTTTCAGTACGGTCAAGAATTAATTATATATTACAGAAGAAATTCCTGCTTTTAGCATTCATTTGTGTCTGGAAGAAGTCACCATGATTTTACTGCTCTTTGAAATATTTCCATTTATTGTATAGAAAAAGGTAGGTCTGTAAGAACCTTGAGTTCAGAACAAATAAAAATCTTTTATGAATTAACACTCAGAGGCCAGCCCCAGTGTCACAGTGGGCAATGGATCCCAACACACCTTTTTCTAAAGAACATGTCCAAATATTTCACTGGCACGTTTGAAGATGCTCAACACTATCAGCCCTCAAAGCAATACAATTGAAAGCACAAGGTTCCTGGCTGGCCAGGAATTTATGATCATCTTCTTCCCTTTGTCATTGTTGCCAAATTGTACTTATACAAGACCATTTTTGGGTTGTTGGTGGCATTTCAGTTTGGAGGCAGATATTTTTTTACATCTATCTAGCAAACTCACATACCAGGTCTCAAGAGAAAACCTATATATAGTTAGTATTATAGAATTATTTTGCCCCATAATTTTGGGAATAGAACAAAAACACTTTTACTTTTTAGGATTCTTCTAAAGAAATTCTTCAAGGGAAAATAAAAAAGGATATCAGATGAAAGGGAATGAGTCCAGTTTTATTTTAATATCCAGGACAAAAAGTATAAGAAAAAATTACTGCAGGCAATGTGGAAGATAAAAAGAGGGTTAGCAATGCTGCAGAATGTGAGATCAAGGTAGAAATATGAATTGTATTTCTGTATACTAATTTTAAATGCTATTCTAAATATCATTCCCAAGGAGAGAAAACATTAGGAGGAATTTCAGGGCAGAAGTGTGACACTCTTCTTATAGTGTGTGTGTTTGCAGAAGTTTGAAAAGCCTGGACACAGTCAAGAGTTGAGGACTGCTAAATTTTAATTAAACATTACAAAACCAGGAAGTGGTGGTACATGCTTGTAATCCCAGCACTCTGGGAGGCAGACGCCAGCCTGGTCTACAAAGCTGTCCAGGACAGCCAAGGCTACACAGAGAAACATTGTTTCAAAAAATTAAACACTAGAAAAGACTAAAAATATCAAAATCAGATTTTTGTATTTCTTGTCTTTTTGTGAATCCAAGCAAATCAAATAAAAAAGGGTCCTGACATACTGTGACTTTAGGGTATGGGAATGATGTGATAGACTGACTAGTGAGCTACACCTACAAAATGCTAAAAAATAGCAAGAAAAGAAATCAGGTGATCTGAACAATGAATGAGTCAGCATTAATCCAGCAAAGGGCCCTCACAGGGTCCAACTTCAGGGCCTCAGGACATGCAATCACTAGGCCTTTTGAGGTGGTGAGCACAGCAGGGCTGTGAAGGATCTGAACCATCATCCAGCTCCCTTCTGTGTTTGTCCTTTGGAGGCCAGGCATATAGGTCTGCTCTGGAGCTGCAACTGAAAAGACCTTTAGGGTGAGCTTTGCAAGTTATATTAGTCTGAAAGGGACACACAGAGACCACCACTCACGAATGCAATTGGGAAGAGTGGTTTTTTTTTTTTTTTTTTGTGAAAGGAAGAAGCCTGCATGAAGGGTTTGGCAAGTGGGTTACATAGTAATGGGAAGAGGGACTGCCTTGGACATAATCTGATTGGCCTGTTCTTTGGTCACTTCCCCCTGAGGAGGGAGGGAGCAACCTTAACAGTCCACAGAAAATGACAATGCAGCCACTTCTGATGAGAACTGATAGACTAAGATCAGAAAGAAGGAGAGGAGGACCTCCCCTATCAGTGGACTTGGGGAGGGGCATGCGTGAAGAAGGAGGAAGGAGGGTGAGAAATGGAGGGGAGGAGGGAGGGGCTTATGGGGGGTACAAAGTGAATAAAGTGTAATTAATAAAAGTTAAATAAATAAATGAAAAGAAACACAGTCAGTAATAAAAAAAGAGTGAAAAAAAAAAAAAAAAGGAGACCCCAGACAAAGACACACCAGACTTTCTTGTAGAAAATTAGGGGAGACTTGACATTCATAGCCGATGATTCTCAAGCTTGATCTTTGAGAACAAGCTAGGCAATGTCTCATAGAGAGATGGGAGAGTTGACATCCACAGTGGGGGAGACCAAGTCTTTCAAAAACAGCTAGGACAAAGTATCACCTGTCTGTTTACTTGCTGACCACCCTTCTGTGTGCCAGGTTTGGGTTCACATGAAGTAGTGTTTAGGGCATGAGCTGTCACTTCACTTCTCTAATTGGGTATTCTTGAGGTAGCTAACCTCATCTAGCATGTCTTGCCAGTGTGATACAACATATGAAAGACACCGTTTTTCCACACATCGCTTTTTGGCCTGAGGTCCACCAAGGACACTTCTGAGGCCACAGTCCAGATTTCTGGAGAATTTGCTATCTAGGCTGTGCATGGTATCAGCTCTTCATTTCCAGGACTGTCAGTAAGTTTAAAAAATGTGGAATAGGGCTCTGGTAAACCTCTAGGGCAAAGGCACCATAGTAATCTGTTTCCTTGTGAACTTTGCTTGCCCTTCTCACACTCCAGTGATAGTTTTTAAAAGCTGGCTATGTCACCCTTCCTAAGAGCATGTGAAATGTCAGTACAGGCTCCAGGTCAAGGAATTTGGATTTAGTGTAGCTCTGGGGGAGGAATCATAGAAGAGACATACCACAAAATCTCCACATGACTGATAGGGCTTTAAGAATTAAAACAAATATTATTCATTTTATATACTGATTATAGCTCCCTCCCTCAACTCTCTTAGGTCTAACCCTCCCTTCTTCTTTTGCCTATTCCCTTCCCCTAGCCCACGAAATGGAGAGTTCTCCTCCCCTGCCATCTGACTCTAGCTTATCAAGTCTCATCAGGACTGCCTGGATCCCCTTCCTGTGTAGCCTGGCAAGGTCACATTGACAGGGGAAAGTGATTGAGGAGCAGGTAACTGAGTTCATCTTCTGCTACCCTCACCTAGGGACCGACTGAGCTGCCTATGGATTATAAATGAGCCGGGAAGTCTAGGTTCTCTCCATGTGTCATGGTCCTTGGTTGGTGCATCAGTCTCTGCAGACTGACAGATATATTTAATTTTGCCACTGAGCATACTATTACATAGCAGCATCTGTCCTCCCACTAGCCAGTCAACTTTCCCAAAAACTCTTGTGCAGTTTGGGCCATGAATCGTCCTGTGAGTGTTTGCTCCTAGTGTCTGAGGTCTCACCTGGGATCCCAAGTCCTTATGATCTTCATCCTTCCCTGTCAGTAGTTGACCACACCTTTGTTAACATCAAGGCTGAAATTCATTCTGCTGAATCTTTGAGGGAAGTTTCCATCATTACCTATCTTTGTTTTGACAGGGACCCCCACATCTCCCACATCCCCTGAACATTGTAACCGCTGTATGAATCATTCCTGTCATGTTTTTTGATGACAGGGGAATGATGTTTCTTCCCCAACATCCTGAGATAATTTCTTGGAAAACTTTGTTAATTATTTTATTGCTTAGAGATTTTAAGGAGTGTGAGAGCCATTGCTTGGCTGTGTTTGGGAAAATGAGCCTTCATCTACCTTAGATGAAGGAGTGACAGGATTCTGTTGAAATAGAGAGCTCAATGGATAGGAAGGAGGAGGTGCTGAAGGCCTTCCATTGTCTCTCAGAGAGGGCTAGTGGAAAGGGGAGTTTGTCTTTGAGTGATTTTGGGAAGAGATTTTTAGGATATTGATATGCGCTGCTCCGGGGGATCCTAACTGTCCCTTTTCTGGACATTCTGTGTCACCTCCTAGCAAGCTCTCTGCATTCTCTCTGATGTCATCAGTGTTCTGGCAACAGTAAATACCATTGGTGGCATTTGGTCAGTGCCTATAGGTTTCTCCTGTAGAAATGTTGTCTAGGTTGAGCAGGCTACTGGGAAAAGCAAAGGGAGAGTGTAGAGAGGCCAGAAAGAGACAGAAGGAATCTGGCCTTCGATCTTGGTGCAGAAGAACAAGAAATAAGTGGTTCTGTGGAAAGCACAGTGAGTTGAGGACAGGGGTTGGTGAGCTTCCCAGAGGAGATGGGGTTTGAGGTAGGCCTTCTAGGAGTGGGATTCAACAGCTGATCGCCTATGGGAAGGAAAGGGTCTATCCTGATTCTCTGTTTCTTAAAGAGCAGACCCAGGTCAAGGAATTGTGATGGTGATTTTGGCAGGAGGCCAGAATTTGACAAGACTCTAGCTCCATTCTGGAAGACCCTTAATTTGTGGGAGCAGGCCAGCAGAGAGATTAATGAGGTGTCCCTCTCAGGGATGCACTCCATTCTCAGAAGATTTCTGTAGGTTCCCTAGGTATCTGATACCAATAACAGTGAGGAATACTCCCCTGGGCAATTGCCAAGGACTAAGACATTTAGATCCATTGGGCTTAGACATGTGATCAGGGTTTGGTGGTGCTAATAGTGAGGGACTCTGGACCTTGCTTTCATTCCCTTAGATATCAGCTGACATTCCCCTCTAAATCTGCATGTCTGAGCTAGCTATGCTTCGAAGAGACAGGGAGATTGCAGTACTTAATTAGGCACATGTCTAGCCAGGGTAGTTAGGGGCAGAACATGGTTTATGGACTCCATGCTGTGACAAAGCATGGTCTCCTGTCCCTGTGCCATTTACCTATACAAGTTCACTTATGTTTCCTACCAACAGGCCCTACTGGGAAGGAATCATCCCAATGCTTCAAAATCAATGAGCTGGAGCAGCAGATGATGAAGTTGGAGAAAATGATCATTCAGCTACAGAGGATGACCTGTGAGAGGGATGAACTGCATGGAATCCTGGCCCATTTTTCTGACAAGGATTTGAACAACAGGTAGTCATTATGCCCAGTTCTCTGTTGACTGTCTTGATCCCTATGTGTCAACCTTATCTTTCCCAACATAACAAGATGCTGCACCTCCGTGGAGTCCTCATGCCCAAACTAATTTTCCTGAGTGCATCTGAAAGGCAGAACCTGAAGCCTGGGTAGGAGTACCAGAAGCCTGGAAACATAAGCTATTCTGCTTCCTCCAAATGAAAAGCAGATCCTATGGCATGAATCTCAGTGTGAGGATAGGGCAGTAGTGTGTGAGCTATCATCATGCATTTTACATTCCTTAACAGGTGTTGGCTTGTGGGAGATGCTGGGTGCTGTGAGTTTATAGTGAGTTTTTTTTTTTTTGGAGATTCAAATGCTATTTTTATGTACAATATTAATATTACAGATACTGTTAATAATATTTTTTATGTTTAATTTTTTTTTTAAATTTTTTATTAATTACACTTTATTCATTTTGTATCCCCCCATAAGCCCCTCCCTCCTCCCCTCCCAATCCCACCCTCCCTCCCCTTTCTGCATGCATGCCACTCCCCAAGGAGTGATAGGGGAGGTTCTCCTCTCCTTTCTGATCTTAGTATATCAGTTCTCATCAAAATTGGCTGCATTGTCCTCTACCATGGCCTGGTAAGGCTGCTCCCCCCTCAGGGGGAGGTGATCAAAGAGCAGGCCAATCAGATTATGTCAGAGGCAGTCCCTCTTCCCATTACTATGTAACCCACTTGGACACTGAACTGCCATAGGCTACATTTGTGCAGGAGTTCTAGGTTATCTTCACGAATAGTCCTTGGTTGGAGTATGAGTCTCTGGGAAGTTCCCTGTGTTCAAATTATCTTGTTCTGTTGCTCTCCTTGTGGAGTTCCCGTCTCCTCCAGCTCTTACTATTTCCCACTTCTTACATAAAATTCCATTCACTCTGCCCATCAGTTGGCTATCAGGCTCAGCATCTACTTTGACAGTCTATACTGCAGAGGCTTTCAGAGGCCGTCTGTGGCAGGTTCCTAGGTTGTTTCCTGTTTTCTTCTTCTGGAACCCCTGACCAGAGAGGGCCCCACAGGGAAGGAAGAAACCGTGCTGCTGGGGTCACCTAGGCTTGTAGGCCTTAACAGGTGTTGGCTTATGGGAGAGCTGGGTGCTGTGAGTTTATAGTGAGTCTTTATACTTGAGCAGCAAGTACATGTGGACTGGTTGCTATTGGGAGGAGATGGAGGAGCCTGGGTCCACTTGGTGTATCTCAAGGTGTGACTGGGAGGCCTGGAGCTCATCCTGGACCCTCTTGGTCTTGTTCATTGTACTCTGTGACAATGCCACCCCCTGAATTTGTCATGCTAACTGTGCATCAGTGTATGTGTGTGTGTGTGTGTGTTATTCAGCAAATTCATGAAGGCATATGCATGAATGAGTGTTGTCTTCTGTACACACTACCTTCGGATCCTGGGAGTTGGTAGTAGATGATGGGACCTGAGAATTTGCTGTCTTATAGTTTTCAGAGGGCGCCAGTGCTGAAGCCATGGAGCTGCTCTTTGGACAGCACAGGACTTGTCCCTTGTTCTCACCTCGGTGGCACATTGGAATCTCCTTGGGGGTTAATAAAGTCTCTTCCCTGGAAATATTTATGATGTACTCTGCACATCTGTGTAGGAATAGGACCTCAGGGTTGAGAGTCCTTGCTATAAACATAGGAGAAATGTCATCACACATTTCTGGAAGGCCCAGGTCTGTGCCATGGACTCTTGGGAAATTCTTAGAAAGCTGGTACATTCCTTCAGTGCCATCAAGGGTGTTCATGCAGTCCAGCTCCTTCATTTTGATACCTCTGCCTCTGCTGGCGTGAGGTCAGGATCTTAAGTTTAATAAGCACCTGAAGGTACTAGTAGTTAGGAATCAGGATGTAGCATCTCCTGGGCTGGGGTAATCCTGGATGTAGCCTAAATTCATGTCATCTGTGAGGTTTGTTCATGGGGCTATTCACTTTTGGGACCCATACCTTAACACAGGTTCAATTTTGAACTGGCAATCCTGAATCTGGAACATCTGAAAGTGATGTCAGCCCTGTTGAAATTGTCCCAGGGGTTAAGTGAGGCCTTGGATGATTACAAGGTGCTGACTAAGGACACTGATTCCCTCAGGTGAGTGACTGACTTTGGCTGGGGCCCCAGGATTTGAATGGTAGTGCATCTGCTCTTCTTTGTTTTCAATCCAAAGTGAGGGCTCTGGTTCTAGCCTGTCTGTTTCTGAGCAAGCAGCCTGCCTTTTGGTCCTTGGACTTGTACCACTTGGACTCACTTTTGTTCAGTGAGTAGAGAGTATGAGCCCCTCCCAACACTGTCCTGTCATCCTCAAGAGCCTCTAGATAGAAAAAAAAATATTTGCATCATGAAAGGGTTGTCCTCTGGGACTCTGGCAGTTGATTTAAATAGCTGGTTTGGATGGGACCCATAAATACCCTGGAATTTTGAAAGATCTGCAGTCCTAGCTTAAAGATGGTTTGCTCTCTATGTGTTGATGTCTTCCAAATATCATGGTCTGATAATCAAAGATGGAGGCCACTTCCCGCTCTTGGAGGTACATGAGTTCCTTTTGGTGTCAGGGTTTTCAGGGTTTAAGTCTTTCTGAAATGTGTCTGTCTAGTCTCTGTTTTTGGCATGCCTCTAGGTGATGCTGGAATGGCTACTGTAGGCCCCATTCTGGGGCCCTCTGGAGACCACTGGCCTTGCAGGGATGATGGTACTTGGATGTGCGGAGGCAGATACTTGCTGTCTGGGGCTCACCATACTTTGGCTTTGGTTCAGCCTTCATCACTGCCAGCTCATGATTGACTGGACTAAGCTGACGCTGCAAGTTACCACATTGAGAAAGAAGAACAGAGAGCTGCAGAGGGAACATATTGTGCTGCAAAATTGCTTTCAGGAGAAAAACAGGCTCTGTGAGGAGGCCCTTGAGAAGATGTGTGGCCTCTGTGCCAAGAAGCAGCAGGTAGGTTGAGGCAGCACGGGCAGGATGCCCACCTGAGCAACCATAAACAGACACATTCATACACCTACCCATCCACCCATCCATCTGTTCACCTACATCTCTTCCAGTTGTTCACTTCTGTGATCATTTACAAGTCTATCTGGGGAATTAGCCTCTTTTGAGAAACTGGATGTTTGAAAAGCAAAGTGTCCTGCTCTGCTAGAAATTGTAGTCCACTGAGGGAGAAAGGTGGCCCATACCTGGCACACCTACTTGCCATCATGATAGCAGTGTTGCTATATGGATACCCAGTTAGATAGTTACACAGAGCTTCGAGTGATGACTTCAGGGGCCAGTAGCTCAGGACAGATTCCTCCTCATAGTTGTACAGAATGCTGCATTTCAGAAAATCCCTGCAGGGGACTTCACTAGCTTCATACTGCCTGACCTGTGTGCTATTTTCATATTATACAAATTGTAATATTTTGAAAAGCTTCTGGGTAATAACCTGGGTCACTGACTTTTTTAGAGCTACCAAGATCTTCTTTTCATGAGCCAGGATATGTTAGTTGAGGAAAGCATCATGGATTAACATGGAGCTATTTGGAAGGTAAGCTTGGAGACCTTCTGCTTGGGAACTTGGTCTTGTGTGGTCCTACTTAGCTGAACTAGTGCAGAGTTTATAATTTGCCCATGATATCAGTGTGTTTTGGGATGGAAAAGGTCCCTGGAAGAGGAAATAAGCCCAAGGTATGACATCAAAGCCTAGCTGAGTCTAAGAGCCTTGTATACAGCCAGTAGGTCCTAGTAATTCCTTATGCAGTTGAAAAGGTATTGTAACAGCAATTCTTTCCATGGTTTGTGTGCATGTGTATGTGTGAGTGTGTGTATTTGTGCCTCCCTGTGTGTTTATGTAAGTTTGTGAATATGCTGTGTTTCTGTGTGTGGTGAATTGGTCGTCATCTGTGTGAATGTGTAACTCGGAGTGAGCATAAGTTTGTGCATCTGATTGTGTGTGGTTTTTATGTATGTGTGTTAATAGTTGTGTACATATGCATATTTACATACCCTTATTTGCACAGTAGTTTCCCTATCAGTGTACGTGTGTGTGTGTGTGTGTGTGCATGTGCTCAGGTGTGAGTCAGTCCTTGTTGCTATGTTGTATGCATGTGTATAGGTGAGTGCTTGTGTAGGTATTTGTGTTGTGTGCTTTTATGTGCAAGTATATGTGTGTGTATCAGTGTGTGTGTGTTTATGTTTGAATTTGTGTGTATGTTTCTGCCCTCATATATATGTGTGTGTGTGTGTTCCTTTGCTCTTGGAACATCTTAAATGATGAAAGAGACCAGCTTCAATGAGAAAGTATCATGTTGACTGAGTTTGCAGACATCAAACTTTTCATGCTGCTGCCCATCTTTCTGCATTCCCGCCGTTTGCTTAGAAAAAGGACACAAAAACTGTTGTAACTCATCGACTTCATAGAGACAAAAATACTTATCTGCAATGAAATCCCTTGAAATTAACCAAAGGAAGGGGCTACATGGAGGTGAGGAGAAGGCTGCTACAAAACCAGGTGCTTGAGAGGCAAGAAAGGCTGGCTATGGGTCTGTGTCCCTTCTCTGCTTTTGGTCAATAGTGAGTGTTCCCTGGACAGTCGGGTGGCTTTCTGTGTCTTCCCTGCATCCTTTTTTTTAAAAAAAATTTATTTAACTTTTATTAATTACACTTTATTCATTTTGTATCCCCCCATAAGCCCCTCCCTCCTTCCCTCCCGGTCCCACCCTCCCCCCACTTTCTGCATGCATGCCCCTCCCCAAGTCCACTAATAGGGGAGGTTCTCCTCTCCTTCTTTCTGATCTTAGTCTATCAGTTCTCATCAGAAGTGGCTGCATTGTCAGGGTTCTAGGTTATCTCCATAGATAGTCCTTGGTTGGAGTATGAGTTTCTGGGAAGTTCCCTGTGTTCAAATTTTCTTGTTCTGTTGCTCTCCTTGTGGAGTTCCTGTCCTCTCCAGCTCTTACTATTTCCCACTTCTTACATAAAATTCCATTCACTCTGCCTGACAGTTGGCCAACAGGCTCAGCATCTGCTTTGATAGTCTCCATGGCAGAGGCTTTCAAAGTCCCTCTGTGGCAGGTTCCAAGGTTGTTTCCTGTTTTCTTCTTCTGGCTTTCAGAGGCCCTCTGTAGCAGGTTCCTAGGTTGTTTCCTGTTTTCTTTTTTTTCTGCATCCTTTTTTTGTTGTCATCAATTGCCAGCAACAATTTTCTTTCCTCCTTCACCTAATCTTGGCTCTGTAAACTAAGGATTTGGGACTTGGCCTCGATTTTATTTTTTTTAACATATTTTTAATTTTTTTTTTTACTATTAATTACACTTTATTCATTTAGTATTCCTTCTTAAGCCCCTCCCTCCTCCTCCCAATCCCACCCTCCCTCCTCTTTCCTCATGCATGCCCCTCCCCAAGTCCACTGATAGGGGAGGTCCTCTTCTCCTTCCTTCTGATCTTAGTTTATCAGATCACAAAAGGAGTGGCTATATTGTCATCTTCTGTGGCCTGGTAAGGCTGCTCCCCCCTCAGGCGGAGGTGATCAAAGAGCAGGCCAATCAGATTATGTCAGAGGCTGTCCCACTTCCCTTTACTATGTAACCCACTTGGACGCTGAACCATCATGTGCTACATCTGTGCAGGGGTTCTAAGTTATCTCCATGAATAGTCCTTGGTTTGAGTATGAGTCTCTGGGAAGTTCCCTGTGTTCAAGTTTTCTGGTTCTGTTGCTCTCCTTGAGTGGTTCCTGTCCTCTCCAGCTATTACTATTTCCCATTTCTTACATAAGATTCCATGCACTCTGCCCAATAGTTGGCCATAAGTCTCAGTGTCTGCTTTGATTGTCTGCAGGGCAGAGGCTTTCAGAGGCCCTCTATGGCAGGTTCCTAGGTTGTTTCCTGTTTTCTTCTTCTTCTGATGTCCAGCCTCTCTGCCTTTCAGGATGGGGATTGAGCATTTTAGTCAGGGTCCTCTCTCTTGCTTAGTTTCTTTAGTTGTACAGTTTTTAGTAGGTGTATACTATGTTATGTCTATATGAGTGAGTATATGCCGTGTCTGTCTTTCTGCTTCTGGGACAGCTCACTCAGGATGATCCTTTCCAGGTCCCACCATCTACCTACAAATTTCATGATTTCCTTATTTTTCATTGCTGAGTAATACTCCATTGTGTAGATGTACCACAATTTCTGCATCCATTCTTCAGTTGAGGGGCATCTGTGCTGTTTCCAGCTTCTGGATATTACAAATAAAGCTGCTACAAACATGGTTGAGCAAATGTCCTTTTTGTGTACTTGAGCCTCTTTTGGATATATGCCTAGGAGTTGTATGGCTGGGTCTTGAGGAAGCGCTATTCCTAGTTGTCTGAGAAAGCGCCAGATTGATTTCCAGAGTGGTTGTACAAGATTACATTCCCACCAGCAGTGGAGGAGGGGTTTCCCTTTCTCCACAACCTCTCCAGCATGTGTTGTCCCTTGAGTTTTTGATCTTGGCCATTCTGATAGGTGTAAGGTGAAATCTCAGGGTCGTTTTGATTTGCATTTCCCTAATTACTAATGATATTTAAGCATTTTTTTAAGTGTTTCTCTGCCATTCAATATTCCTCTACAGAGAGTTCTCTCTTTAGCTCTGTTACCCATTTTTTAATTGGATTACTAGTTTTGCTGCTTTTCAGCTTCTTTAGTTCTATATATATACTGGATATTAGTCCTTTATCAGATAAAGGGTTGGTGAAGATTCTTTCCCAATATGTAGGCAGTCGTTTTGTTTTGATGACGGTATCCTTTGATTTACAGAAGCTTTTCAGTTTCATGAGGTCCCATTTATTGATTTTTGCTCTCAGAGCCTGTGCTGTTGGTTTTCTGTTCGGGAAGTTGTCTCCTGTGCCAATAAGTTCAAGGGTATTCCCCACTTTTTTTTCTAACCGATTTAATGTGTCTGGTTTTATGTTGAGGTCTTTGATCCACTGGACTTTTTTTTTGTGCAGGGTGATAAGTATGGATCTATTTTCATTTTTCTACATGTAGACATCCAGTTGGACCAGCACCAGTCTTTTATTTGCTTGGTTAGGGTTACTCCAAGGTACTTTATGTCATTTGTGGCTATTGTGAAAGGCGTTGTTTCCCTAATTTCTTTCTCAGCCCTTTTGTCTTTTGTATACAGGAGGGCTACTGATTTTTTTGAGTTAAATTTGTATCCGGCCACTTTGCTGAAGGTGTTTATCAGCTGTAGGAGTTCCCTGGTAGAGTTTTTGCGGTCACTCATGTATACTATCATATCATTTGCAAATAGTGATATTTTAACTTCTTCCTTTCCAATTCGTATCCCCTTGATCTCCTTCAACTGTCTTATTGCTCTAGCAAGGACTTCCAGAACTATGTTGAAAAGATATGGAGAGAGTGGGCAGCCTTGTCTTGTCCCTGATTTCAATGGGATTGCTTTAAGTTTCTCTCCGTTTTGTTTGATGTTGGCTATAGGCTTGTTGTATATCACCTTTACTATATTTAGATATTTGCCTTGTATCCCTGATCTCTCCAGTATTTAAACATGAATGGATGTTGGACTTTGTCAAATGCTTTTTCAGCATCTAGGGAGATGATCATGTGGTTTTTTCTTTCAATATGTTAATATGGTGGATCACATTGATGGATTTCCATATATTGAACCACCCCTACATACCTGGGATGAAGCTTACTTGGTCATAGTGGATAATATCTTTGATGTGTTCTTGGATTTGGTTTGCAAGTATTTTGGTAAGTATTTTTGCATCAATGTTCATAAGGGAGATTGGCCTGAAATTCTCTTTCTTTGTTGCGTCTTTGTGAGGTTTAGGTACCAAGGTGACTGTGGCTTCATAGAATGATTTTGTTAATGTTCCTTCTGTTTCTATTTTGTGGAATAGTTTGAACAGAATTGATGTTAGCTCTTCTTTGAAGGTCTGGTAGAATTCTGCACTGAAACCATCTGGTCCTGGGCTT